CCCCTCCTCAAGGTATATAGTTCTGCACAATTTCCTTTCTACCCGAAGTACCTGAAATTAATTCATTTATATGACCCTTATGCCCTCTCATCGATGGTTTACATTAGTTTTCGCCCCTAGGGTATGCAGGAGTACATTCGTTCCTGTCGCGAACGGATGTAGTCCAGCAGACCCTCTCGCTCAAGAGGAGACCCGAGGCACAACACTTGGGCTAAATCTGGCTGAAAAGAATTTGCTTGTATTTCCTATCCAACTAGGATTCCACACGGAGAAATTCACGGAATTGTGTATGAAGCTATGTCAATTACTCTTTCAGGCCAACAATCTCACGGAGATGGAGGTCGTCTATCCGTACATTCGCCTCGAATGCACTAATGTACCAATTTCCGGTCACTATGTCGCTGAAAAAGCTGGAAATTGTGAGTTTTCTTCAAATGGAGTTTATTGAAATAGAAACATAACTAAGCCTGCTGACTGGCACGACTCTCCTAACTCCTTTCGACCTTCGGCCCATACGATGTCCTATTCGAGCGTGAAAAAAATTTATAGGTGCACTTCCCAAATGCTCAAGCAACAGTTGCTGCTCACTAGCAAACGATCCAAATTTTGGTAGCAGGCCAAGTATTGAGCCTTACAAAAGGCAATAGCAGTGATGGAGGGGGCAACAGATCTCTAGTAAGATTCCGGAATCGTTTTGCAGGCTTCCAGACGGCAATGTCTAGGACCATGTAGTGAGCGTAGAAAAGGTTCAGTCCCCTGTTGAGATTGGCTGAGCTTTCAGATGGTTACTACTTCCCAAACGCTTCATTTCTTTCTTCTTCGCTTTCTGGGGCAGCTCATGATGAGAAAGCAGGCTTGCCTACACCGCAGATAGCAAGGCTGGAGCAAATGAAGGTCCACTCCAGCTTATCCAGCTTACATCCCCTTCTTTTTCTCCAGTCCCAATGTAAATGGCAATTCGGTCAACAACGAAACCGAAACGATGGCGGGAGTGAAGGGGATGGGTCGATATTTTCATTTTCTGTATCAAAACCCGTTTTCGTTTGAATGATGTGCCATCGTAGATACTCCAAGGGTATCGTAAAATCTTTGCGCTGCTTTGGAATATGACTATACTCCAGAGTTTCAAAATACTTCTCATGGAAATCCGCTTATCATCACCGATATTCGCGTTTATCATTGATTATTTGCAGATATCATCGAATTCGACAACTATTACTCATGGTTTTCGGCTAAACAACTCCGCTATAATATTGAAATCGAAGAAATGTAACATAAATTGCTAATATATAATAATGCTATGACGTTGTATGTTTAGTTGTACATAAAATTGTAAAAATGTATTAATAGACACATGGACGGTAGCATCTGTTAATTTTCGAAGATCCCAGCGCGAGATTGCAAGGTGACGTCGATCGGGCCGTCAGGAAGTGTGTAAGGGTGTGTAAGATGGAAATTCTCTAAGGTAGACCGATCAAACTCAAATTACCAGCGGGCTGTGGCAGTAAAGTAGTGACCAGAGACCACCTGAATCCCTGCAATGGCGTTGATTTGTTGCCAGAAAGGAAAGTGTAAAGTAATCCATACTGTTGAAAACGTTTCCACCAGTATGGAGGTTTAAACATTTGAGTGAAGGGGTCAATGATCGGATCGGTGCTCGATAGTGCAATAGATAGTGGACCGGCCTATTTGTCATCAAAATATGAACTAAAGGGCAACTACAAAGGTCTGTATGCCCACTAATGTCTGCTGGAGGATCGCTGTTCCCATTCTTTATTCCTTTCCTGAACAGGCTATTCCTGGCAGGTTCGAAAATTTATGAAGAATTCGTGTACACGGGGGTTTCCGATCTGTCATGTGCGCTCCTCGAATTGCCTTCCATAATCGATCGAGTTTTCTCAAGGTGAACAGTCGATCCCAGTCTTTCTAATTCTTGAGTCGGGCTGGTCCTTGAAAGACAGTGAGCAGGAACCTTCAGTTATAGAGATCAACTCATCCCATTGTCGCTGCCATTTGCATTAGAATATCGTTTTGGTATATCGAATATCGAAAAAGACCGTAGGTGGCCTTCGAGGATCGGGAGGCTAAGAGATGTGTAAAGTCCTCTCTACAGCTGGGCTTCGATAAAGATCTGCCGGGGCTAGTTCGTCCTGGATTACTAGGCGAGGATTGAGTAGTATGCCGATGGGAACGGAGAACTCTAGCTCTAATCGGACCAGTTTCCTCAGCCAAGTCCGGATAAGTCTTTACGATAGTTCAGACTCATCTGCGGGAGCACATAGGCATCGGCCTGTTCGAAATCCCAATGATGTCTACACGCTTTTCTGTAGTGCTCTCGCCGTCGATGATGTAAATTCGTGTTGAAATTGACAATTTTGCTTTCTAATGTAAGTTTACAAAGAAATAGCCAACTCCGAAGGGCGCTACAGTTCGTTGGTCCAGGCTTATATCGATGCGGAATATCTTCCTTATCAACTCCATACTTTATGTTGAGTAACTTCATTGATACCGAGTAACTGAAACTACGATGCGGTCAACAAGTAAACATATATAATAATTGTTTTATACTTAGAGTGACGCATCGTTTAAATTATCAGTTTGATTTTACAGCAATGTTTGCCTTTTGGCATTAATTCCGATCACTATTACCACAATCCGAGCCATTTAATACAACTTAGAATGTCTCATCTCAGAAGGTTAGCGATTTGTGGACAAAACTTCGGCCTCGGACAGGACTTGAACCCGTACTTGTGCTTTCCGGGCACCGTGCTCTATCCCTTACACTACCGAGACCCTGCTTTGTTAATTGCTGCTATTTCGCCGCAGTACGCAATGCGAAAGTCTCAAAAGGTTGGTACTACTCAGAATTTCCTCTCTTCAAGGATAACGCGGTCGTCCTTTTGTTGGTATGGCCTTATGACTTTAAACTACCTGTGTGAATATTGTCTGACGTCCATCTACTCCCTTGAACAAACCGGTAATTACGCAACCACGAAATGTCTCGCGCTAAAAGGTTTTGTCGTATGATATGTTCAACAGGAAAACCATTCCGTTCGAACTTCATATTCCCTTGTAATTCTCTCTCGTTTGAAGGGGGCACGAATATTCTCTGAACATACATGGGAAATGGCTGGATCTCACAATTATCAGAATTATTTCCTCATTTATTGACTAGTGACAAGTGCGCACACAATCACACCCATGGAAGGGGATTGGATCTCGGATCGATACTCGCTCATTCCAACCAAGTCTTCTATCCCTTCACTGTCGGTTTGTTGTAGTTGTTGGAGCCTAGGAGTATGAGCTGAATTGTCGTCTGCCGGTCACCACAAGTTACTGTGTAGGCCAAGTCTGTTTCAAAAACGCTTCTCGAATCGTAAACGGAAGTTGAATGCCTGGCTCATCCCAGAAAAGGGATTAATAAATGTCAAAGAAATTTATCTTTCATCGTTTTCTCTCTAAGAATGTTCATGTCCATGGTATGGACGGTGGTGCTTTCTGCTAAAGATGGAAACTGCCATATAAGTGAATTAACTGGCAAGGCCTAAAGGGGAAGCTGACCCTTCATTTTGAATTTGTCGGGAAGGCTCCTTAGGACAGACTCACTGGGAAGACCTTCGAGCACTCTGTATTGTAATCACATGGGAGGATCCGGTTATTGGAAAAATATCTACGTCATGATCGTGGTTAGTGCTTTCCGTACGTGAAAAACAATTATTGTTCCTGTACGATGAACATAAGAGGCAAATCTCTTTTTCTTCTGAGAGAAGGAGCTCCTGTTGAGGAAACACTGTATATTATACTCCTCACATCCTCTTTAGTTGCTCTCCCACTCCCCACCTTTTCAGTCCTCCTCTCTTGCCACCACC